CACTTAAATTGCTACACTGGCTCTCTGTTATTATGTTGAGTCCCTACCTGCAATTTTAAGTGTTGTAATCAAGGGAAAAGTTGACTACCTTAATGAGAACAAGACCTTTGTTCATGCTTTTCATTACCACCCCAGTCCTGGCCAATTTCCAAAAGAAAAAGAAAGCTCATCATTTTGTATAGACATCAAGGCTGCTCTTATATAGCCAGCTGCGCAACTGGTTCTCATTTTAGCCGTTTGTTCTCCTGTTATATTTTATTGCTTTTATAATTATATTGTTATGTTCTGATTCTGTAAACGGCTTTGCAAGTTAATGTTGAAAAACCATACAAAGTAGTTTATGGAAAGCCATATATATACACATATATATGATTTTGGTATTTCGGTTTTTCCTTCTCTTTCCCTAAATATTACTAAAGGCAAGAAGTTGTATTTTGGCTCATTCAGGGGGTCAATGGTGCATGGAAGCATATCTTCCTGTTTCTCATAGATGAAAGCTAAGAGTCATGTTTATCCAACATCAGGTTGTGTTCATGATGTCAAAAGTGATTTATGAGAAAGACCTTACAAGCTATAAGAGGCTGTAGCAGTTTGCTTTTGCCTGAGCCTAATGAAATAATAATAATAATAATAATAATAATAATAATATATATAATAATAACACTTTATTTATATTCCGCCCTTCGCCCCAGATAGGCCCTATATCCCAGGATCTGATCCCAGGCTTTCTGTTTATACCAGATTATCTGGCATTGGGGACTCATATATTCCAGTTCAAAGCAGAAAACCTGGGATCAGATCCTCGGATATAGGGCTTGTCTGGAAGAGCCCTCAGAGGTGTTTGCTGGTTCCTTCATCTGAAATATAGCCTAAAGCACCTGGTATTTGTTGGCTTTCAGGTCTGACTCTGCTTAGCTTCCAAGATAAAAAGGATCTGGTGTCATTAGGGTATATTTATTTATTTATTTATTTATTACTGCATTTGTAGACTGCCGTTCTCAGCCCTAGGGCGACTCACGGCGGTGTACAACATATAAAAACAACTTACAATATAAGCAATAACACAAGCAACAATAACAACATCACTGTCAATAATACAATTACACTAAATCATTCGCGACGTCTCATCATAGAATCACAATCCGATCTCGTTATCCATGTTCCGTTCCAATCGTCATTGCCAATTGTTGTAGCACTTAGTCAAACGCCTTCTCAATCAACCACGTCTTTAGTCTCTTGCGGAATGTCATAAGGGACGGCGCCTGTCTGATGTCTACAGGGAGGGTGTTCCACAGCCGGGGGGCCACCACCGAGAAGGCCCTATCCCTCGTCCCCGCCAGGCGTGCCTGTGAGGCAGGCGGGATCGAGAGAAGGGCCTCCCCAGACGATCTCAAAGTCCTCGTGGGCTCATAGGCCGAGATGCGGTCAGACAGGTATTTTGGGCCGGAACCGTTTAGGGCTTTGTAGGCCAACACCAGCACCTTGAATTGGGCCCGGTAGCAGATCGGCAGCCAGTGGAGCTGGAACAACAAGGGCGTTGTGTGCTCCCTGCGTCCCGCTCCTGTTAGTAACATGGCTGCCGCGCGCTGGACTAGCTGGAGCTTCCGGGCCGTCTTCAAGGGCAGCCCCACGTAGAGAGCATTGCAGTAGTCAAGGCGGGATGTGACCAGAGCGTGTACCACCGTGGCCAAGTCAGACTTCCCGAGGTACGGGCGCAGCTGGCGCACGAGCCTAAGCTGTGCAAATGCTCCCCTGGTCACCGCTGAAACCTGGGGATCCAGGCTCAACGATGAATCAAGGATCACACCCAAGCTGCGAACCTGCGCCTTCAAGGGGAGTGCGACCCCATCCAGCACAGGCTGTAACCCTATACCCTGTTCGGCCTTGCGACTGACCAGGAGTACCTCTGTCTTGTCTGGATTCAATTTCAATTTGTTCGCCCTCATCCAGACCATTACAGCGGCCAGGCACCGGTTCAGGACCTCGACAGCCTCCTTAGTATATATATATAAGACCCCTATTGATATTATACCTAGGAATATTCTTTGATTCTTAAGCAATGCAATTTTGAATATCCTATATGCTTACATGACTTCAAAGTAGATCAAGTCTCTCTAATTTCTCCTTTGCTGTAATAATTCCAGATAATCTTTTTTCAGTTTTCTCAGAGGAACACCCATTTCTTATGAAAATGTATGCTTTCTGATACTTTCAAACATAGTGGATTGTTCCAGCTGAGGGAACTTTGCAGTTTACTTTTGAAACAGATTTCCTATGTTTTATAATGAGCATATTGGAGTCACCATCATCCCGCATGCCCCGAAGGGAATCCCCAAGGAAAGTGCATGGAGATTGTTAGGCTTCTGTAATGATTTAAAATGTGTTAAAAGATTAATGTTGATGATAATGAATAGTGATACATATTTTAATAGATTAATTGGTATTACTGATCTACAGAAAAATTAGTTGCTAATTGTAATGATTTTTTTCCTGCTCCTGTGCCCATCAATCAGCGAAGAGTGATGATCAGAGCTTGGAAAAAAAGCTTGGAAATGGCAATTCTGAAATGTCCGTAATCGGAATGGAAGTTGTACTTTACCAAACTCTAGACTAAACTATTCCAATTCCGATTGTGATTGTATGGCATATATTCATGTATATATTCATGTATGCCAGCATTCATAAGGTCTGGCTTAAAGCTTTTGGCTACTAAAGCTGTCCTTGACCTGTCCTTGACCTTACTATAGGAGTTGCCCAGACTGTAAACTGATCTTGCTACACCAATGCCCCTGAGGGCAGTAGGATAGAGGTTGTCAAACTGTGGACTATTGACTGTATATGGGGCCCCAGTGCATATGGAGCTCCAATATGGTCTTAAATATGACACCATTTGAGGGGAAACCTGACTTTTCCCTCAGATCCTACTACTCTAGAGTAGACCCAGGCTGCTGATCTTAAATATGACACCACCTAAGCACCTAAGTGTGTAGAAATGGGAGGGGGAGTGTGGGATAAAGTCCCTACTGCCTGAGACAATTGCCTCCTTCCACCCTATGACAAGTCATGTCCTTTTTACCACAAAACATAACTTCCATCAGTGCTAGTAGATTGTATTTCACACACACATACAATCTGGAGGGTCTAAGATCATGTAGGAGCCATTGCACCATCCAAACAGTGAAAAAAACACATGGGACATCTGGAAGTGATGCTCACATAATCTATGTTTTCCTGCATCACAGGCAGAATGGTGTCAAGTCTGGGGCTATTCTTTGGCATATACGATGATTGAAGTAATGCCTCCACCTTCATAACTCCACAACAGATGGCGGTACTGGTATGTGGCAGGTACTGGCCTGTTCAGTAGACTCTACAGTTCCATTTTGGTGGGAAGCTGTAGAATTGAACAGTTGTGTTGTTAAAGTATGGAACCCTGTACAGATGGTCGGTCAATGCAACTTAAGCAAACGTGCAGTCATTGAATTCTTGACAGCAAAAGGTCTCACCCCAAAGGAGATTCATCAGAGAATGCAAGATGTTTATGGTGATTGTGTTGATGTGAGTAATGTGCATTGTTGGGCGAGTAAGCTTAAAGATGTTGAGGTAGGAACATCTGACTTGCGTGACAAACTAAGAGTTGGACGTCCTGTGACAACAACCACCGAGTTTCAAAGCAAAAGTTTGACAGATTGATTCAGGACAATCGTCGTGTCACTCAAAGAGAAATTTCAAGCCTAATCGGCATTTCACAAGAATGTGTGGGTCACATTATTGCTTTTGGCTATTGGAAGATCTGTGCATGATGGGTACCCAAGATGAGAGAACTGTGAGATGCTGGTTGTGGAAACAGAGTGTCAACTTCTTCTATTATGGCTTCAGAAAACTTGTTCATTGTTGGCAGAAATGTATCCCGTTGTCTGGTGATTATGTGGAAAAGTGAATAGTGGTAGTTAAAGAGCACATTCTAAGGATTATTTCTGCGTTTGATTTTTTAAAATATTCCCATCCAAATTCAAGTAACAAAGGTGGGGGCATTACTTTTCATTCAACCCTCATATTTCAGCTAGTACTTGTTTCTTGTAAAGCAGTAGAGAGTACAGTAGACCAGAGGCAGAAAATATTTTCCAGGGTTGGTGATAAGAATGCAGCTGAGTTGGTTGAGTCCTTATACTGAAAAATAGAACTTGGAAAAGACATGAAATGTGACCAAGCTGGTCCCTGCTTGTAATAATAATAATAATAATAATAATAATAATAATAATAATAATAATAATAATACTTTATTTATATTCCACTCTATCTCCCTGGAGGGACTCAGGGTGGATTCCAAATATAAAAGGCAAACATTGAATGCCTGAATACAACAATTCATCCATACAAACAGAATTTCAACCCAACATATAAACACAAATAATAACTAAAATTAAATAAAAAAACACAGCTTGTTATATCAGACATAAGATCAAACATCGGAACAGAAGCAACAATTTCCCAGTTTCTTGGGGCAAATAGATTGATCATTGGTCAAGATATCTATTTTACTGGTGGGGCAAGCTATTCATGATAAAGTTGCTGTTCACCATATTCACCATAAAGTTGCAATTCTATTCATCATAAAGTTTCTGTTATAATGTTGTCAATGGGACAGATTTCAAGCTAAACCCAAAATTGGTTTGAGTTTAGCTTGACATATGTCTCATTGACAATGATGACTGCAGAGTTCTTTAAGCTGCAGTTCAAAAAAGGAACTTTTCCCAAGCCCTGGAGTAATATACCAAGGTTCTTACATGGACCACTTAATTTTTTGTTTTTATCTTCTGGCTCGTTTCAAACATTGGAGAAGAATTACTGGGGACACTGGGAAGGAAATTTGTTCAAACTTATTTGTTTTATTTCTAGTGTATGGTAAGTTGTGATATTTCTCGTCTTTGTTTAGACTGTGCTTCCTGTTAATTTGTTTCTAGCATCTGCAAATGTTTGATGACTTTATTTGTTTTCAGTCCCCTTTGAAGTCCAGTGAGGTCCCTCGGTTGGTTGCCAGCCCCATGGTGTGGGTCCCAGAGGGAGGGATGCTACAGATCACCAACAGGATTCTGCAAGCTGAGATGCCTGGAGTCAGCGATTCTGCAATTGTCTATACTATTCGAGATCAGCCACGCTATGGTAAGCAGAGATTAAGCATGGAAATAATATTCACTCTTCATAAAATAATATTTCAAAGCCACCAAAGAAGGAGCCTCTACCAGACTCTGAGGCATCATATCCCACTGCTGAACAGTTCTCATAGACATAGAAGTTCTTCCTAAAGTTCAGGTGAAATCTCCTATAAGTTGAACCCATTGTTCAGAGTCCTAGTCTCCAGGGCAGTAGAAAACAAGCCAGCTTCCTCTTCCTTATCACATCATTTTACATATGACTATCGTGTCTCCTCTCACCCTTCTCTTCTGCAGGCTAAACATTATCCAGCTCTTTGAGACAATCCTCATAGGACATGGTCTTCAGACCTTTGATCATTTTAGTTGTTACTTTCCTCCCTTGGGAAAATCTGGCTATGAACAGTAATAGAGGAATGACATTTTTGCTCAGTATTTGCCCATCCTGAAGGGTTCTAGGCAGTAATTCTGTGCAGAATACGTGTTGTGGGTGGTGGTGGTGTGATGCATAAATATGCTGGAGTTCTCCACCAAAAACAAATTTACAGAAAGACACACATATTTGTGTATGTGTGGACGTTTGTTCTTTCTAAGGTAAAGAGCAATAAGAAAATAGTTGTGTGACATTGTTGTACAGAAGTGTTTCTCAACCTGGGGGTTGGAACTCTTGGGGGGGGTCATGAGGGGTGTCAGAAGGGTTGCCAGAGACCATCAGAAAACACAGTATTATTAAACCAGGTTGAGAAACACTGGGTTAATAGGTCTGCAACAATACCTCAATCAATCACATTGTAGCATCATTTGTAGATGAGTGGTACATTTTATCAATGGAACAAACATGTTGGTCATGGGGGTTCTGTGTGGGAAGTTTGGCCCAATTCTATCGTTGCTGAGGTTCAGAATGCTCTTTGATTGTAGATGAATTATAAATCCCAGCAACTACAACTCCCAAATGTCAAGGTCTATTTTCCGCAAACTCCACCAGTGTTCACATTTGGGCACGTTGAGTATTTGTGTCAAGTTTGGCCCAGATCCTTCATTTTTTGAGTCCACGGTGCTCTCTGGATGTAGGTGAAATACAACTCCAAAACTCAAGGCCAATGCCCACTAAACTCTTCCAGTATTTTCTGTTGGTCAAGGAAGTTCTGGTTGCCAAGTTTGGTTCAAGTCCATAATTGGCGGAGTTTGAAATTCTCTTTGATTGAAGGTTAACTATAAATCCCAGCAACTGACAAAATCAATCCTCCCCAACCCTACTGGTATTCGAATTCAGGCTTATTGGATATTCGTGCCAGATTTGGTCCCGTGAATGAAAATACATCCTGCGTATCAGATATTTATATGGCGATTCATAACAGTAGTAAAATTACAGTTGTGAAGTAGCAACGAAAATAATTTTATGGTTGGGGGTCACCACAACATGAGGAACTGTATTAAGGGGTTGCGGCATTAGGAAGGTTGAGAACCACTGTTGTACAGGATTTCACCATGCTGCATTCTTGAGGTTTGCATGGAAAATAGCAATCTTGCACATACACAAAATATGAGGGAAAATCTTTGAGTGAATCTGCACTATAGAATTAATGCAACTTGTCTCCACTTTAACTGCCATGGCTCAATGTTGTGGAGTCCTGGGAGTCGTAGTTTGGTGAGGTACAAGAATTCTGACAGAGAAGGCTAAAGACTTTATAAACTGACAACTCCTGCGATTCCATCATATTGAATCACAGCAGTCAAAGTGCTTTATTTATTAAGTGTATAAGGAGCCCCCGGTGGCGCAGTGGGTTAAACCCCTGTGCCGGCAGGTCCCAGGTTTGAATCCGGGGAGAAGCGGATGAGCTCCCTCTATCAGCTCCAGCTCCTCATGTGGGGACATGAGAGAAGCCTCCCACAAGGATGATAAAACATCAAATCATCCGGGCGTCCCCTGGGCAACGTCCTTGCAGACGGCCAATTCTCTCACACCAGAAGCGACTTGCAGTTTCTCAGGTCGCTCCTGACATGACAAAAAAAAATTAAGTGTATATTTCCCCCTCTTTTTGTAAAACCCTATAATTCTCATGCATAAATCTTTGTACCTTGGAATGTATGAATACTGGGTGAGCATTGCACATAATTTTTTTGTTTTTTCCTCAGTAGCGAGAGAACTGTAGAAATTATAAGTCCTTGCTTGTGAAAACAAAATATTGGATTATTGACATCTTTAGTAATGATGCATGATATCTTCTGTACTTGAAATTCCTAGCAATGTTCAGTTGAGCCAGACTTACCAATTTGTTTCAAAATACGATAGGCAGAAAGCACTGCAAGCAATTCAGTCACTGTGGCAGTTCTTAGGATGTTGTAGAGTTGTACCCACCACCACTGTGTTCTTCAGGGCTCCTTTCTCCCAAATTTTAAAAAACTGAAGTACTGAAGTAATGCCCATCCAATTCCCTTTGTGAAAATTTGCTTTGGAATGCCAGTGGAGAGTTAGGGGTCTCATAAATGGTGTTGGGGGTCTGAATATGCCCCAAATGCTGTATTTTTCCCCCATTCTACTATAGATACAACAGCTTTGTTGCTTGAAATAAATTTATGGTTTCCAAACAAACCACCTTGTTAGAGCTGAACAACCGTCACTTTATATTGAGAGAGCTCAAAGAAAAAGCTAGTGCCTTCGTGTTGTCTATGGGGTCTCTCTGCTAATTATTATGAATGGAAAGCATTAGTGTACAAGGCAGTAATTTTATCCTCAGGGCTTCTTTTCCTGCAGCCTCTCCACGTTCTAAAGTCATAATTTCTCTACTTGTATCATCCTTAATTATCTCCTTGGCAACTAATTGATGGTGCAAACAGAGAAGTTATTGCTTCAGGACGGGAATAAGTGGATGAACCCCTTCTCCCAAATTTAGAAGGTGCAATACTGGAAATATCTAGGTTTATATGATATCATCTCCTCGGGATGTAAATAAATAAACCTTAGGGAAGATCGTAAGACAGCAGTAAAAACAACAGGTGGTGTGTGTATATGTGTCTATATATGTATATGTATGTGTGTGTGTATGTGTTTGTGTGTATGTGTGTATACACACACACACATACTCCAAGTCCTCTGTTTCCGTGGACATGAAATACTCCAGATTTACCACTTTAAGTGCTGTGAAACTTCTGTGATTTGTAGTTACTGTATATTAGTTATGCTTAGAATTCTCTGCTAGACAGCTCAAGTCTTATGGCCTCAAACTTTGGTCCTTCATGTGTTTTGGATTTATCCCATATCATTTTCTGATTGGCACAACCTGGGGAATCACAACCAGACACAGTGAAGACATCTGCCCTTGTGCTATGCTACTCTGTTGCTGAGTATGCATGCCCAGTGTGGAACACATCTCACCATGCTAAAACGGTAGATGTGGCTCTTAATGAAACATTCCACATTATCACGGGGTATCTGCGCCCTACACCACTGGAGAAATTACACTGTTTAGCTGGTATTGCACCATCTGACATCCGCCGGAAAGTAGCAACCAATAGTGAAAGGACCAAGGCAGTGACATCTCCAGCTCATCCCCTGTTTGGATATCAGCCAGTACGTCAACGACTTAAATCAAGAAATAGCTTTCTAAGATCTACAGAGACACTCGCTGGAACACCTCAGCAAGCGAGAGTCCAAAAGTGGCAGGCTCAAACCCAGAACCTCAATCAATGGCTGATACCAAATGAGAGACTCCCCCCTGGGCTCACAGAAAACTGGGCGACTTGGAAGGCACTGAACAGACTGCACTCTGGCACCACAAGATGCAGAGCCAACCTTAAGAAATGGGGCTACAAAGTGGAATCCACGACATGCGAATGTGGAGAAGAGCAAACTATAGATCATCTGCTGCAATTCAACCTGAGCCCTGCCACATGCACAATGGAGGACCTTCTTGCAGCAACACCTGGCACTCCAAGTGGCCAGATACTAGTCAAAGGACATTTAATCAACTACTAAGCTTGCAAACTTTGTGTTTTGTTTGTTTGCTTGTTAAAAAATGCAACGCACCTGTTTGGTCTACTCCTGACACAATAAATAAAATTCTAAGTTGCCTGTTTTCCTGACCATTAGGTATATCCACACTACACATTTGCCACGTTAAGTGATGGTGGCTTTACCATAAAATTATTCTGTAATTTGCAATTACTTACTTAGGTGATCCCTTGTAGCTGAAGGATAATGGTCCCCCAAGTGTACTGTCTTGGTGGTGGGTACGTAGGTGGCTATTTTTGATTCACATGTTCTCCTGCAGTGAGGACATTGGTTTCCAGGTGTAAGGCGGTCCCAGTCAGGGTTGGCTTGATGTGCCTTCCTCTTGGCACATTTCTCCCTTTTGCCCTCCATTCGTGCCTCTTCAAATTCTGCAGCACTGCTGGTCACAGCTGACCTCAAGTTAGAGCTCTCAAGGGCCAGGACTTCCCAGTTTTTGGTGTCTATGCCACAGTTTTTGAGGTTGGCTTTAAATCCATCTTTAATTCTCTTTTCCTGTCCACCAACATTCCATTTTCTGTTCTTGAGTTGGGAATATAGTAACTACTTTGGGAGACGGTGATCGGGCATTCGGACAATGTGGCCAGTCCAGCGGAGTTGATGGCACAGGAGCATCGCTTCAGTGCTGGTGGTCTTTGCTTTTTCCTGCATGCTGACATTTGTCCACCTGTCTTCTCAAGAGCACTTATGGAATTGCTCCAGGAGTTGAGTGTGACATCTGTAGACAGCCCACGTTTTGCAGGCGTTTAGCAAGGTTGATGATGATTTTCTTAGAATTCTCTGCTGGGAGATCTCTGTTAGGATTTCTGGGAGTTGAAGGCCAAAATATCTGGGGACCCACAGGTTGAGAACCATTGCTCTAGCCCAGTGGCCTCAAACATTGGTCCCACAGATGTTTTGGGTTTAGCTTATGTTTAACTCAGTTCTGGGAGCTATAGTCCAAAATATCTGAAAGAAAAAAACCATTTTTAATAATTTAGTATCTGGTTAATAAATCCTAGTCTACCAAAGATCTAAACTCTATTGATTTGTTCTGTAAATTAAATGTAATTTCAGTAGTACTCTTATCCAACTCTTATTATAATATTGTTACCTTTTGGGGGGCTGCTGTTGTTTCAGTTGCTTTTCTGCATCTATGATCCAAGTTGACTTTAACTGCTGCAACGTGGTTTTATAAAGACTGTGAAGAAAGATGCAGAAAATGATGTATCAATTACATGCCGGATCAACTGGGTGTGTGGGTTTATTTAATTGAGATGTATGTGCTTTAAATAATTTAGCATTCAGATATTAAACAGACATTACAGAAACCCCACTGAGATTCAATCTGTCAGTTGCACAAACATGGACAGCAAGACAAGGGAATCCAAAACATCAGCGTAATGGAATCTGAATCTGCAACGTCAGAATAGATTATGGACATGAATTGTTGTGTCCCACTCTCAGCCCAGCAGACAACTATAAGCAGCAATACTAATACTAAATCTCAGTATTACTGCCAGTTTGATAGGATTTTTGTTGAGAGTTGTCCAAACACCTTTAATAATGCTTGAAAAATGTTGCTATTATACAGCCTCTGGGTGACTTCAGATTTTTCTGTCAGAGTTACTGAAAGTGGATTTCAGCTCAGAGCTTAGAAAAGTTACTTTTTATATGGATTATACCTCTTTTCATTGAGGTGAGCCAGCAGTGAATTAGGATGAGTGGATTGTAGGATCACTAAATTCTCTAGGAATCCTGCATTTCCTAGGAAAATGCCCCAATCTTGTTAACTGCAGCGGGTTTTCTCATGAGATGGTTGAACATGGAACAGAGGTTCAAGGGCCAGCAGTTCTTGACTGTCCATTGCCCAAAATGCTCTTTCACAAGTCTTAGTAGACCACAAGCTGAGTATGAGTCAACATTGTGATGTGAGAACCTAGAAAAATCAATGCAATTCTAGGCTGCCTCAATAGGTGTATGGCATCTTGACTGAGGGAAGCAATAGGATCACTCTATTCTGCTTTGGTCAGACCTCACCTGGAATTCAGTTCTGGGCACTGCAATTCAGGTAGGATATTGACCAGCTGGAATGTGTCCAAAAGAAATGTGAACAAAATGTTGTTGGAGACTTTCATGGCACAAATCACTGGGCTGCTATGAGTTTTCTGGTCTGTATGGCCATGTTCCCGAGGCGTTCTCTCCTGATGTTTTGCCCACATCTATGGTAGGCATCCTCGAAAGTTGTGAGGTCTGTTGGAAATGAGGCAAGTGAAATTTCTGTATCTGTGGAAAGACATTGCAGACTAATTCAACCCGAGAAGTCAACTATAGCAGAGCACCTGATGATCCAACCTGGACACAGCATATTATTTGAGAACATGGAAATACTGGACCACTCTAACAACCACCATGTCAGACTACACAGAGAAGCCATTGAAATCCACAAGCATGTGGACAGTTTCAAATGAAAGGAGGAAACTATGAAAATGAACAAAATCTTGCTACCAGTATTCAAAAACTCTAAAATCAGAACAGTAAATAAAGTGCAAGATGCAAAAAGCAGGGGAATTTTGGACAAGAATAAATCAGGGTCAGCTAACACCTCCTAACAAAGGATGCCCCAGGCAGCAACCAACCAGGCTTGGAAGCTGCAAGGCCACTAAGTGCAAATCAAGGTGACCACCTGCCACATTCACACTTGCCTCAAGCAGACAAGAGTTCTTTCTCCCACCCTGGACATTACACAGATATCTAAACCTCACTTATTCAGTTTTCTGCAGACCTCACAATCTCTGAGGATGCCTGCCATAGATGTGGGTGAAATGTCAGGAGAGAATGCCTCTGGAGCATGACCATACAGCCCAGAAAATTCTCAGCAACCCAGTGTACAAAATGATCCAAGTTCTGGAATAAATGCCCTAACAGAAACAGTTCAGGGAGGTAAGTTTGTTTCACTTGGAGAAGAGGGGATTAAGAGGTGTGACATGATAGCCATGTTTAAATATTTGTCACATTGAAGATGTGTCAAGGTTTTTTTTCTGCTGCTCCAAAGACATGGAGCAATGGATTCAAACTATAGGGGAAGAGATTCCAGCTAGATATTAGGAAGAATTTGCTGCTGATGAGAGCAGACTGACAGTGGAATAGGCTGTTGGAGTATGGTGGAGTCTTTTGTGGTGGAGGTATTTCAGAAGAAGCTGGATAGCAATCTCTGGATGGCTCTTGTAGTGTCTTCTAACTTGATGGTTCTGTGATTCTACTTTTTTTTAGGTGAAGTGGTTTTTCTGGTCCCCATGCCTGCAGATGACCCTGGGTTAGGATGGCAGCCTTTACCTGATGGCAGAGCAGCTTCTCCAACTACTACTTTCACTCAGCAGGACATCAACCAAGGCGTCATATGGTATAGGCATTCTGGGTCTGAGACAGAGAGTGACTCCTTCCGCTTCCAGGTAGGCTTAGTCTGCATTACATATAACCAAACATGCACCCAAGGTCTTCTTTATTTGCTATCTATATTGCAAAACAGCAGGAATTCCTGTCATATCCACAAATGACTTGCCAGAAATCCATGAAGGAATCCACCATAACAAATTTCCTGTAATTGTATAACTATGGTCCATTGAATACAATTCTGAAGATGCAAAATGCCAGTATAAGTTGAGCACCTCTCACCCAAAATTCTGAAATACTCTTAATTTCAAAATGCTTCACACAAGTGGCTGAGAGATTGACACCTTTGCTTTCTGGTGATTCAGTGTACAGAAGTGTTGTTTCTTGCCTAAAGGGTTTGAAAACATTATGTATAAAATTACAGGCTATCAGTATCAGATATGTATAGGGCCCTCTGGTGACACAGTGGGTTAAACTGCTGAGCTGCAGAACTTGCTGACTGAAAGGTCATAAGTTTGAATCTGGTGACTGGGTGAGCTCTTGCTCTTAGGCCCAGCTTCTGCCAACCTAGCAGTTCAAAAACATGCAAATGTAAGTAGATCAATAGGTACCGCCTTGGTGGGAAAGTTATGGTGCTCCATACAGTCATGCCAGCCACATGACCTTGGAGGTGTCTATGGACAATGCCAGCTCTTTGGCTTAGAAATGGAAATGAGCACCCCCCCCCCCCAGAGTCAGACATGACTAGACTTAATGTCAGGGGAAATCTTTACCTTTACCTATGTTTAGACTTCGGTCCCATTTCCAAGATACCAACTTGTGGACACATGTGAAAATAAAGATATTCCAAAGTCCTCCCCAAATCCATCCAAAATCCCAAACACTTTTGGTGCTAAACATTTCAGATAATGGATACTTAACCTGCAGTGTCTTTTTGACAGTGCTCTCCTCTCTCTTGCCTGGAAGCTTTAACACTCTCCTGAAAGGCTAAGCTAACTCAAATGCTTGCATGCAATATTTTGTACATTTTGGTTTACCGCGTCAAAGCTATTACTGTAACACAGGGGAGGCAATTAAGGTAATTTCTGAGGTAATTAACATAAGTGATAATGAGAAAGTGTTGAAGTGCCGGATGTTGAACAAGCTAATCTTTAATTTAATGGCTGTGTTGCTGTTAGCTTGTATGAATTTTGCATGACTTGGGGGAGTTCTGTTTTGGTTTTTTATGCAGGAGCACCTTTCTGCAGTAGTCATAATTGTTTGGCAAAATATACTGGCGGCAAGACGTCACAGTTAGGTGGATCCTTGCACAGAGCAATAATCCATCTGCCAGGCTCATAATGAATAGATTGCTGCTGCAGGAAAAATACAGATGAATGATTTTTCTTAGCATTTTGGGAGCTGCATTACCAATGACCTTTCGTAAAATAGATTCCCCATGTCAGTTTATGAATGTGTTATTTACTTACCTTGGCTCCCCCAGCACTCCCACCATTTCCCATGGGTTCAGCATGGTGAAAAGGCATATTGTAAATCTGGGGAAAGCGGAGGAAGGGGACAATCATAATGATCACAGGATGGGAGCAGCTCTTATATAATAAAAGTTTTAAATGAGGCATAGGAACTTCAGTTGTCCTCATTGTTTGGGTTACAACTTCCACAGTCTTTACCAGTGGCTGTATCAGTGGAATTGAGAAGAAATTACTGGAAAGCGAGTAATCCCCATCTCCGATTTAAATGTTTGGTGATTTTCATACATGCTGTACCTGTTGCACTCCAGGCCAGGAAGCCCTCTGACTTTAAACACCACACAGCTGAGTAACTGGTTACTTACAGAGAGAGGTCAACCCTCCTGTTTAAGGAGCTCCATTGGCTGCCGTTCATTTTCCGGTCCAAATTCAAGGTTCAGATGCTTACCTACAAAGCCCTAAACGGTTTGGGACCCACCTACCTGCGTGACCGCATCTCCGTATATGAACCTACACGATCTCTCCGATCATCTGGAGAGGCCCTGCTCATGATCCCACCTGTGTCACAAGTGCGTTTGGTGGGGACGAGGGACAGGGCCTTCTCTGTGGTGGCCCCCCGACTCTGGAACTCTCTCCCCAAGGACATCAGACAAGCCCCAACGTTGGCAGTCTTTAGGAAGAGCTTGAAGATGTGGCTGTTCCAGCATGCCTTCCCAGAATAGGAAACTCCTAGCATCATGACCCAAATGCACTTTATTAGAGATTTAAGATTGTCTGCACACCGCACCTATCTCCAAAAACCTATCAATTTCACCTGTCATGTCTAGCATTTTTTAAAAATTTTTATTCATTTGGCCCGGCCTCAGTTTTAAATGCGTCGTGGTGTTACTGTCTAATGTTTATTGCAATTGTTTTAATGTTTATTGTTTTGCTTTATGAGTATATTTATTGTGTTTTTTATGCTGTTGTTTTATTGATGTGTTGGGCCTTGGCCTTTTGTAAGCCGCACCGAGTCCTTCGGGAGATGTTAGAGGGGTATAAATAAAGATAATAATAATAATAATAATAATAATATTCAAGCAGTTTATTGAAGATAATTAAAAGCAGTAGCAGTAAAAAGCAATCCACAAAAATAGGTAAATCCAATTAGGTAGAAAGGAAAGATAGGAACAACAAATCCAGGAAATACTCCATCAGAATCAATGACAACAAATACTGGAAATTCCAAGGCAAAAATCTAAAACTTGGGCATGAATCAAACAAGCCACTGCACTATGGAAATTATAAGATACTTGATACAAGAATATATCCAAGGCAAAGCTTCCAGGGACCTGAGACAACGTCTTGACTTGACTCAATTCCAACGTTGCTTCACCTGACTCCAGATTCTGTACTTGGCACTTTTATCCTCTAATCTACTTTATATCCCAAGTGGCAAGGAACAGATTTCATCACATCTTTGAATCTGCTATCAATCTCCTGCAATCTGGCAGAGCGCCTGAGAACTTGGTTTGTTTTTCTGTGCTGACTGAAAGCATTTCTCCTATCTACTGGCTCATTAATTTCTGCAGTTGGCCCAGGTGCTGAGCCTTTCTCAGGCTCAAAGCCTTGGGTATTCTCTGGTAGCAATTCAGGCCTAAGGAACCAACCATCATCCCCAGACCCGTCAGGAACATTCTCATCAGAAAAGTCACTTTGAACAGGAATCCTATTGTCATTTTCTGCATCTAGAGCAACTTCATCATTAAACACATTAACCTCATTGTCACAGTTTACCAGCTGTTAGGATTTCTGGGAGTTAAAGACCAAAAACATCTGGGGACCCCAGGTTGACAACCACTGCTTTAGCGTATTTAGGCAGCTTAGAAGAAAGGGCAGGAGATGAGGACGTAGTGATGTATAAAATTATGTATGGTGTGGAGAAAATGAAAATGAATATATTTCTAGAACAGTGGTTTTCAACCTGTGGGTCCCCAGATGTTTTGGCCTTCAACTCCCAGAAAGCCTAAGAGCTGGTAAACTGACTGGGATTTCTGGGAGTTGTAGGCCAAAACACCTGGGGACCCACAGGTTGAGCACCACTGGTCTAGAATATCCAGGCAAGCTGGATAGAGGTAGATGAAAGATGGATACAAGAAAGTATTTCTTCACACTGTGTGATGTTACACTGTGTAGTTTGCTGTCATAGGATGTAGTGATTGGAGAACTTTAAAAGGGAATTAGACAAACATTAAATAAAGTCTTTTATGGCTACTGATCACAATGGTTAATTGTTTCCTCCAATATTAAAGGCAGCATTCTTTTTCTTTGTGGTTTCTGTGACTCACCCAAATAGGTCACCTCTGCTTGTGCAGTGCAGCCTTTGGGAAGATCTAGAGTTGAGTGATTGGTATGGTGGTAGCATGCATCTGTATTCCGGCAAGTCCCAACTTTCCCCTCAGTTCATTATCATGTTCTTCAGTAGTTCCTTTGTTAGAAATGTTCTCTCCTTGGATTTGAGCAATCTGTTGTTTTTCGGTTTCTCAAGCTTTAATTGTCCATCACTTTGTCTGTTGGGTCTGAAATGTCTTCTGTGTGTCATGTATCAATCAGTGGGTTCTGTTCAAGATCCTCCTAGGCAAGTGAGGTTTATATATCTGTGAAATTTCCAGGATGGGAGAAAGAACTTTTGTCTGTTTGAGGCAAGTGCGAATGTTGCATTTGGCCACCTTGATTAGCATTGAATGGCCTTGCAGCTTCAAAGCCTGGCTGATTCCTGCCTGGAGAAATCCTTTGTTGGGAGGTATTCGCAGTCTCTGATGGTCTCCTGTCTGGAATGCTCCATGTTTTTTTAGTGTTGTTCTTTATTTACTGTCCTTATTTTAGAGTTTTTTAATACTGGTAGCCAGATTTTGTTCATTTTCATGCTTTTCTCCTTTTTGTTGAAATTGTCCACATGCTTGTGGATTTCAGTGGCTTCTCTGTGTAGTCTGACACTTTTATGTATTGTTGTGGTGGAGATTAGAGTAGTATAGTGGTAATATTTAGTGTTGTTGCTGAAATATTAGTAGCATTTTGAACAACAGTTGTCTAGTTGTTATTTGTTGTGTGCCTTTCTGTAAAATTATATAAACTACTCACTAAATGCTGGGGAGTGGGTTCCTTTGCAAGTGCAGTTGGTGTTCATTCTCCCCGCTCCAGGCTGAGCAGTGCACCTGATGTAATGGAATTAAAATTATCCCCTTGCAATGGCCGCTAGCCTGCCATTTGTGTGTTTCCAGAGTATTGGTAATTTCTCCCGGATTTGAGATTTTGAAGGACTCCAAAACCTTCATAAGAGATTCTCTTCTCTTTGTTTGTTTACATGGTTTGTCTCACATGTCCCAGTTAATTTTGTGTTGGCTGGCAATGAGGTGGCAAGGCTTCCAAATCAGTCTTTCTCTATGATGGCCAGTCATTGATCTGCTAATTGCTTGGTAACATTCATAATGGCGGGGGAAAATATCTGCAGTAATTCAGGATGACCTATTTTGAAACTTAATGGGTATCTTGATTCCGAATGGCAACAGACCAGAGAAGGAAGAACGTGATATACGGGCTGGAGAAAAACA